TTATGAAATTAATTTAATATAAACAAGTATCTCCATTACATCCAATATGTCATGTAATTCTCTGAAATGCACTGAGAAAAACAGAAAATATCATTAATGGATTACGGTCATTACCCAAAAAATGAACTTAATAAAAAAATCTGAATTAATAAGTATATTGATAATCTTTCAGCAGCATAACACATTTTAGCAAAACTCAGATATTTCTCAAGACAAATTTGAAGGTTTAAGTAGCTGAATTCTATCATTTTAATTAATAATATGCTGTCTAACAAAAGACAGAACCATCAGATTACTTCCCTGTGGTAAGCTATTAAATTTCTGAACTATGTAGAATCATATGATTATTAAAATAAACATCAGATACCCTATAAACAAGGTGGCTTGGTATTTTTTTAAAAAAACTGAAATACTTCTGAAACTGAAAGGGCTCAGGATAAAAGGGATAAATCAGTTCTATCTGTCCCAGGTAAAGTGAGATATAGACCAGTCAACCTACAAATCAAAAACATTCAGTATTTTCAACTCCAGTACATTCTTAATACCAACAAAAAATTCTATTAAATTCCAGGAACTGTTTAATTCATGTTGTTTTAATGTGTCATATGTTAACACAAGCAGAAGTTAACCCATCAAGATATTTTTCTGAATCACTCACCTTTATGAATCAGTTTTAATACCCAAAATAACCCACAACCCACATACCCATCTTCGTCTTATACTTTGGAAGTTGTTTTTATAGAATTGAAACAAATACAGAAATTACAACAATGCAAACAAACTTAAGGTCCACTACATATTCTTAATGTCACCACTATAAAAAAGAATACTAATAAAGGGGAAAAATGAAAATTTCACAATTATATCTTAAATATTTCTCTTTCATTCTAACTTAACTTTTTATACTTATAGTTGATTAGAAATGTCAACTATGTAATTTAAAACACAGCAAAGTCTTCATATTACCTTTAAAAAATAATCTTATTCTTTTATCAGATTTTACTATTGCACTGACAAAACTGTAAGCTTATAATTTATTTAGAGTGTGAGAAAAATACAAACATGTTGAGATGGTCTAGGAATCAAAGATTGTGAAAAATTATTTAAATCAATCTATCATGCAAATTACTGTCTATGTCACTGTAAAAGATATTTGGAATTATGAAGCTAGTCAGTTGCTTAGGCAGGGAGAGATTCTAGTATGGGAAAGATTCTAGCGATTCTAGTATGGGAACAGCACAGTTCACGTGTCAATGTTACCATTCTAAGGGTCCTGAAATCCAATTTTTTCAATATGTCAAAGTGTACCAGACTCTGTGGGTTAGGACTTCCTAATTTTCCATTATAACAGCCTTAACAAGAGCTTGGTAACTGACTCAAAAAGAATAAATGAAAAGAATCAAGATGTGTTCCAGCCCACATACCTGGAGAAATGTCTGGAACCAAAGCAAGCTGTTAGCGTAGAACTTTGGTAGGGTTGTTAGGTTAGGTTTGCGGGGGGGGTGTGTAAGATATAGGGAATTAAGGATGATGGTTTGCAATATAAAAAAATTTAGAAAGTGATAAATAGCTAAAAATGGCTAATTTTTATGAAGGTTGGAAAGGAAGAAATGAAGAGACATGCACATTTAAGAAAAATCTGAGATAAATAAAAGGAATTAAAAGAAATGAGGGAGCCTAAAACGGTCATAAAAATCAAGAAAAGATTTTTTTAAAAAGGAAAAGTTGGTTACTAACATCAAATAATAGAAAAGTCAAGAACAAAGACCTCTGAACTTGTCAAAAGGACATAAAATGGCAACCTTCATAAACACCATTTCAGGAAAGATGTCAGAATGAAAGACAGGCTGCAAACGATTGAGCCAATATGATTTTTTTATATTTAATACCACTCATTCTGTGAAGGATTTAAGGCTATTTACAAGAATCAAAACAACAAAATTCCCAGCACAAAAGAAAAGCAGTAGGAGAACAAATGCAAGGACAAGACTAAAACACAGAAACGTAAGTCCCACATCCTGCATGGGTTTAAAAAGTAGGGAAAAAACTAAGTTTCTAAGGAAACAAGTAAAAGAGAGCACATATTAAACTTTAGGATTCATATTCCCCATGAATGAAAAGTCAGATATTCAGAAGAAATATGAGTTTTTCAACATATGAAATGGAGAAAACTTTTTCATGACTTCTCATAAAGACAGTATTGTATTAGAAAGATATCCTAAACATAAAATACCAAATGCATTGCATAGGGCTGTTTCAGATGACATCCATAAATGCATGATATCCTCAAGAGCAAGCATGTGGCAGATGAAAATAATGCCATTCTGTTCTACGTGCAAGATAAAATTTAGACGTAATAAAATAAAGCAATTATACAGACTTAAGCAGTCCTTACTACACAATATTATCTGGATTCATTATTTTAGTAGTTTTCATCAGCTAAAACTTGAAATCATAATTGTTAGTAAGAACCAGAGTACAAATGCTTAGTATTCTGAAGTACATATCTACAACTTTGATTATTAACTAGAGAGACAGTAAGATTAAGAATTATAAAAACTTCAGATTAACTTAAGTACATATCTGCAAGAATGGCCAACCCAACCCTACATAGAGGTACACCATATACAATCATATTCAGCAGGGAAAAAAAAGACACAAATTGATCCATGGAAGAGAAGAACTAGAGTTCTAAATAAAAAAAGCTTAAAAGGAATATAAAAAGAAGCAGGAGACATAAACAAAAGAATACTTTTCTTTCTCTAATAATCACAATGAATTTTTATAGTTTATGTCTCTAGTTTTTCTTCAGCTATCAGGTTATGATATAAAAGTTATTAAATGGCATATATTCTGCACTTAATGTATGTTCCTTGTTTTCTTTCAAATGGCTATTTGATTTTCTGGTTCTTTTTAGTTTAGCTATTAAAAGACTGAACTGCAGAAAATAGCTTTAAAAATGACATGCAAATTACTAATATTTTAAATACGTAGAATGAATACAAAAATAGTACTGATAGTGATTATTAAGTGATAAAGAACTAAAATGGCATATCTTTATTCCTGCTTCAGTTCAAAGTGGAAAATATATAATACACCTAATCATAAAAAGTGATTTCTCTAAATATCTGCACTAAGAGGGGAACTAAATTCAGCAACTGAGTATCAAGCAAACCACCACAGATTTTTCCAGGGTGCATAGAGAGTCTTAACTACCTACATACCAAACCACTAAATTTAACTTTCCATATGCATCCTTCAGAGAACACTACATGAATCCTTCAAGCTAACTAACTAATCAAATTATAAAAGTACTTAAAACTTTATATATTTTGGGCTCCCTGGTGGCGCAGCGGGTTGAGCGCAGTGCTATGAAGCTGTCTGCAGCCTCTGCAGCGCCAGTTTGATTCCCAGCCAACCACAGAGATTCCCACATGGCACAGAAGACCTCTCCTGTCGCACCCACTGCAACCCTCAGCAGTGTATTTCCGTCCTTCTGCCTGTTCTGCTCCCTACTCTGTCTCTAGTGAATTCTCTCACCCTCCTGCACCTCTGGCCTGTACCACAGTGCTTGTAAAAATAAATCAATCTTTGGGGGGGGAAAAAAAACTTTATATATTTTGAAATTTAGAAAGGCCAAACTATATGTTAACTAAAAATAATTGTGTATATATGTATATACAGTCAAAAATACTACAAAATTGACAATCTTAATTTCAAGTTTTTAAGCAAAAGTTTTCAAACAGATATTTTATTCATTTCCTTGACTTGTTAAAGAAATCCAGACACTACTTGAATAAAGCCCACACATCACGTAAGTGAGAAAATACATAGAAACAGACAGGAAAGACTGAGACACAATCTTACCATATAGCCCACCCCCAGCAAAATGCACTTCTGAAAAGGAAAGGGTTTGATCCATACTTCTAAGTACCCTCACTTTTAAGGTTGCTACCTGAGAAATGGGCCTCAAATCACCTACCTCTCAGAACCAACAGGGCTTGTGTTGCTTACATGGACTACAGAAAATGAAAAAGGGGCTCTTAAAAGGGCATATAAGCACTCCATTACTGTCCCTCCCAGACTTAGTTCAATGGCAACTTAGTTCAATGGGCACCACCCATCTCCCAGTTTGGCTACATACTTTCCTATTTGCTGCCAGCGGATCTGATTCTAGATAGCCGTTTCTAGGAGCTGAGACATGCTAGGCAGCCAAAAGAAACAGGGGCATTTCCCCAAGCGCACCACCAACAAAAACAAGCCTCTAGCTTCTCTCTGGAGTGAATTTATCCACACTTCACCACCCAAACTTTTGTGGATTCTACTCAAGACACAGTGCTGATAACCAATAGGACTCAAAGTCCCACAGGTCATATTAAATTTAAAAAATTTCCAGACAAGCATGCAAGCACTTTTGACAGCTATCTCCCAAGGATAAAATTATTTATGAATTCAAATGAAGACAGATTAAAGCAAACAAACAAATACTAAAGAGGTGAGACAAATAGAAAACATCTAACAGGTATAAAACTAAACATTGGATAATGTCAGAGAAAATGGTCAAATTCTTAAAATGCTCCCTTCCATGGTAACAATAAGAAGTAGATCCAAAAACTATAGAAAAAAGGGCAAATGTGTGAGGCAACAGATGTGGCAATTAACTCATTTGTGGGACACCTTAAACAATGTATATGTTATGAAATCATCGATGCTGTACATTTTGAATATATTACAATGTTTTGTCAATTATCACTCAAGAAAATAAAAATGTATGTTCAGTACATGAAAGTTAACTTCTTCTAAATTACTTAACATTTTACCTTATAGACCAACTCCCTTAATGAAAATATCCCCTTAATTCATAGCCACAATAAGGATCAGATACTCTCATTATAAGGACACACCATGACTAAACAGGGGTAAAATATAGTTTAAACTGCAAATATATTGAAAATAGGTAAAATAAGGCATTTCTAAAACATATTTTAAATCAGACATACTTATCCCAACCAAGAGTTCCTATCTCTTCAATAAGACTTGAGTAGAACTGGGGAGGAGGAGACGGTATACAAAGCTCTTGTTTGTTCTTTAAAACAGTTTCCTATTTAAAAGAAAACCTTGAATTAACTGTGGAATGCTAGACAATGAATTGTTAGTACCATATAACAAAACAAAATTTCATCATCTTTGTGTCTGACTAAATTATCTACTATTTTTATAAATACCCAGTTAAATCATTCCTTTTCTAATTAAAAAAAAAAAGACATGAAATGTTGAAGGATTGCAGTAAAGGACATTCAAAAATGTCAATTATTTATGCCATGTAAAGACCATATGCTAATACTCTCCTAGATTGTTATGCCAATCAGAAATGGGAAAAAAAAAAAAAAAAGCAAAAAAAGGAAAAAAAAACCAATCCTCAGGGCCTACCTATCTTTCTCCTTCTATGGATAGAAGGTTTGATAGAAAGAAACATGTACTTTTGAAGAAAAGCCTGAACTCAAGTACACTGCCTAGACTGATATATTAATAAATACCATTATTTATATACCATTACCAACAAAGGCCCTTCATTATCACAATAACTACTTACCTGCCAATTTCTTTCACTGACTTAAATTCTGTATTACTCCCCAACTAAGTCAGTCAAACATCCTGCCATCTATATGGCTTAGATCACAGTTTCCTTTCTCTGCCAGGCCATCCTAAGGTGTCTTTAAGATGGTTTGGACTCCAGTCAACAAAACTAGCATTTACATTTTTACAAGCAATACAATCATCATTAGAATTGCTGAGGCTGAATATTAAACACTTACTTCAAAGGTGCTAACCTAACAAATATAGTATTTGAAAAGTAAAAAAAAAAGCCTATAGATTATCAAAAGATACACAAAGTTAGGAAATTTTATAGAAAGAAATCAGATAAAATATATAACAAACATAATTGTAATTAGTATAAAGATTATAAATGTCTCTGGCAAATGTAACCCTAATAAGGTAAACATTTTATTCATTTAAGTGTATATTTTAATCTATTAGTCCTTATATGCTTCCTAAAACAGGATAGGATACTATAAATTAATACTAAAACAACAGATTTATAAAACATTATTTCAAAATTAGGATGGGCCATTATTGAATGTAGTTATAAATCTACTTTAAGTTTTTTAAAAAAGGGCCTTCCCGGTGGCGCAGAGATTGAGCGCTGGGTTGCAAAGCTGCCTGCAGCCTCTGCAGCGCCAGTTTGATACCTGGCCACCAGGCGAGGGGCCCACATGGCACACAGACCTCTCCTGCCGCCCGCTGCTCCCCTCAGCAGTGTACTTCATCAGTCTGCCTGTTCTGCTCCCGGCTCTGGTGAATTCTCTCACCCTCCCGCGCTTCTGATGGTACCCAGTGCTTGTATAAATAAATAAATAAATCTTTGGGGGAAAAAGGATTAAAAAAAAAAAACTATGAAAGGTTTGTAAAACCTAGATAATGCCAATATGAATTTAAATAGAAGCTCCAGGGGCCTCCCCGGTGGCGCAGCGGTTGAGCGCTGGGTTGCGAAGCTGCCCGCGGCCTCTGCGGCGCCAGTTCAATCCCCGGCTGCTCCCCGGCCACCGGAGGAGGGTCCCGCATGGCGCGCAGATCTCTCCTGCCGCCCGCTGCTCCCCTCAGCAGTGTACTTCGGTCCTTCTGCCTGTTCTGCTCCCCGCTCTGGCTCTGGTGAATTCTCTCACCCTCCCGCGCTTCTGACTGTACCCAGTGCATGTATAAACAAAAAAAAAAAAAAAAAAAACAAACAAATAAATAAATAAATAAAACATGCCTCTATTAAAAATAAATAAATAAATAAATAAATAGAAGCTCCAAGAAGACAAGTAGTATACTGCCTTTTTTGTAAACTATAAGCAGCCTAATTGGTCCATAGAAATAAATTTATATTAAGGCAATATAAATTTTACTAAATTTGTTACTAAAAAAAAAAATCGCTCCTCTATCTATACACTGTATTTCTTTTGAAATTTCTATTTTTATTAAAAAATGTTAATTTCTGTTACCCACAAATATTGAAAATAAAAACAAACATCCATATAAGTAAAATGTATTTTAACTCTTTTATCTAAGGTCAAATCACCTATATTCTAAAACCATAACAAGAACAAAGCCAAGGCAGAGAAGCAAAGCATCTTTCTACAGGAGGAGGACAAATCCACAGTAGAAATAGGCTTTACAAACAGAAGTTTGAAATACTGACTTTTGCATTTCCTAGATTTGAGTCTTAAGTGTTTAGTGCCTCAGCTATAAAAGAAGAATTAAATCACCTACTGAGAAAATTCTTTTAAAATAAAGGCCACTATTAATTTATTATTTACTAAACTGCTACATGCCTAACTACTAGGAAACTTACAAAATTTCCTGAAGAAGTTGAATAACTACTGATTTTATCTGGGCATCATTCTTAATACTTCCATTGGAGATTATATTTTATGAACTCTATTAGTGACAACAGAACAAATTAATTCTTACACTATCCTAAAAGTGCCATATCATCAACTCTATCCATAATTTCTTTAAAAAGTTGAAATATCTACTTTTACTCAGAAATGCAAAGCAACTATACTAAATAGAATGTTGTGAATTGGATCAACCTCATACTTCATTTTAGTTTCAAACGAATAAATGTTACATCAAAATTAAATGACCAATAGAGATGCGCTTAACAACCTAATAAAGATAATTTCAGTAATAAGAGCTTAATGAGACACAGTATATACATTTTACTCTGGTTCCCTTATTCTATCTATTTCAAAGCTTATTAAAATGATAAAAATATAAACTTTTTAAATATTTTCCAATATTAAGAGGGTATAAACCAAAATATGCTTTTCCCCCTTACCTCTTTTGTAAGGTTATTATATTTTGGACTTTAACGAAATTTAAAATCAAGTTTGACAATCCTTTGTATTTAGAGTTTGAAATTCATAAATCAAAATTTAAACTTTAGAAAGTGATTTTAAATTCTTTATTTTAATCCAAACTTTATCAAAACCCTATATATCAGTAAGTTGTTGTGAAATTAAAAAGGGATTCAGGGGCCTCCCCGGTGGCGCAGCGGTTGAGCGCTGGGTTGTGAAGCTGCCCGCAGCCTCTGCAGCACCCTTTCGATCCCTGGCTGCTCCCCGGCCACCAGAGGAGGGTCCCACATGGTGCGCAGACCTCTCCTGCCGCCCGCTGCTCCCCTCAGCAGTGTACTTCAGTCCTTCTGCCTGTTCTGTTCCCCGCTCTGGTGAATTCTCTCACCCTCCCGCACTTCTGACTGAACTCAGTGCTTGTATGTATAAATAAATAAATCTTTAAAAAAAATTTAAAAAATTGAATAGTTTCAAAAAAAAAAATTTTAAAAAAAGGGGGGATTCAGAACAACTCCAGCAACTAAACTTTCAATGTGTAATAGCTGCTTCTAAGAATAAAAGCTTGCAAAAGAGTCACAAGGAAATACCAAACTGCTTTCAGTTGTTAGCTGCAATATATCAGCATTCTAATTTTGTAAAACAAATATAAAGAGGTAGGAAAAGCATTAAGTAAAATGTAATAGGTAAACATAATAAAAATTGTTAATACTAAAAACCAAGATTTTTCTGAGTAAGAGATATATGTATAAAACTCAAAGAATTAAAGTTGTTATCATGCCAAATTTGAATTAGAAATACCAGTATGGACTCATGATTATTCTCTTTCTAAAATGTATTTTTTTCCTAGCTTTTTTCACTGAAACGTACTAGACCAGCAATGAGCACTAAAGTTTTTCAAACTTTGACATCCAAATACATTTCCTACTAAATCATGGCTAGTCAAGGAATAACTGATTATACTTCTGGGAGAGGATAACTAAATGAACCTGGGACAACTGGTATCAGAAAGCAAAGCTTGGGTTATGTTAAAAAAAAAAAAAAAAATCAGGAGCCAACATGGAGGGATGTACACTGACCAAAAATGGGACAAGTTAAGCACCAAAATAATGACTGCAATGGATTAAAGTTAACCAAATATATAAAAACCCATGAACTCATAAGAATACAAAAATGTTATTAGTTCCCTTTGACAATTACTAGGCACTAACTCATTATTCTTAAAATGGATATTTTTGAAAAAGTGAAAAGAAACAAGCACTCCTCTTTTCTCCCCAATATTAGCTATACATCAAAGAACTAAATAATTGATATGGGAAGTTCTCTATAGATGATTTTCAGTTAGTAACTGTAGAGGATGAAATGAAAAATCATCATTTATAACCCCTAATAAAATTGTGGATGTAGGGCAATGACCATTATTGGATGCTAAATCATTAGATGATAGACTGATGGGAAAATTTTTATTAGGTGAATCTAAACTTATTAGTCAATCTTTACTAAAACAAACTACCAGACACCATGTGCCTCCTGAAGCAATGTAAGCAGTAGAAAACACATGGCAAATGAACCCTACTCTGTTGAGATCTCTAGATCTAATTTTCAGATTACCAAAAAGCAGAAAAATATTAAAGATATTATAGTTAATGCCTACTCCAGAATTTGGGAAATTTTATAAGATACTAATCTAGTTTATTCAACAAGCAGATGGCATAAAAAATGGTGAGTTATGTTAAAAAAAAAAACAAAAAACAAAACCCTGGTGGTGCAGGAGTCTCAGGGCTATCAGGTTATCACCAGTCACTGCAGCATTACTTAGATCCCAGGCCGAAGAGGTAACCCACATGGCGCAGCAGACCTCACCTGTCTGGCGTGCTGCTCCCTTCAGCAGTGTATTTCACTAGATCCACCTGTTCTGCTCCCCACTCTGTCTCTGCTGAATCATCTCACCCTCCACATCTCTGGCCTACACCCCAATTCTTGTAAGCATAAATAAATAAATCTTTAAAAAAAAAGGTGGGTGGCTGTGGGGGTTGAGAGAAGATGAGGTGCTGCAATAAAGAGATTTAACAGACATACTGAGACTAAGTATCGTGTGTGTGTTGTGTGTATACTGATACAAAGCAGCCACAAGGAACCATCATTAACTCTGTTATGGTTGTAAGTATATAAATACAACCATAAAACATTTAACTATTACAGATATACACTGGCATATATAGAGAGGAATGGATACAACATCCTTTAAAATACTTCAGTCCCTTTCTCCTAAATGACTTGGGAAAGAAAGATGATTAGAAGTTTGTTAGGTCCCGGGCCTGGGGTTATTTACTATCACTTGCCCTCTAATATTAAAAATTTACATAATAAACATTTGATTATCACAAGATAATCAAATGTTTGCATAATTGTTCTGATGAATAATCACTTACTATATCTAATTTTTACTGCAGATAACTATTTTTGCACATTATGAAGCCTAACAAGTTTTTCAGAGATCTATAGTAGTAAACAAAATTACACCCTATATTATATCTTTAAAAAATGATTACCTAGGGGCCGCCCCGGTGGCGCAGTGGTTGAACGCTGGGTTGCGAAGCTGCCCGCAGCCTCTGCAGTGCCGGTTCGATCCCCGGCTGCTCCCCGGCCACCGGAGGAGGGTCCCGCATGGCGCGCGGACCTCTCCTGCCGCCCGCTGCTCCCCTCAGCAGTGTGCTTCGGTCCTTCTGCCTGCTCTGCTCCCCGCTCTGGCTCTGGTGAATTCTCTCGCCCTCCCGCGCTTCTGACTATACCCAGTGCTTGTATAAATAAATGAATAATAAATAAATCTTAAAAAAAAAATGATTACCTAATATCCTCACATGTTAAATTCTGACAGACAAGGAGTGCATTTTACTTCTTCAGCAGTTACCCAAGACTAGTGCAAAGTGCACCCAGTTTATGATACAATCAAATTGTTCCCTACATACACTTCTCATGGAGTTCAAGAAAAGTAACAACCACATTTACACACACAATAACATAACACATTAAATGACTGGGAGTTAAGAAGTTTAAAATTCTAATCATGTTAATTTTTAAAGGAAACACAGAAAAAAACAAGACACAGATTATGGTAGCAGTGTTAGAACATAAGTTCTTACCAAAATCATCTTCAACTCCATCATAAAGCTCACAAGATCAGGAGAATGCTGCATTCTCTAAATCAAAACATTTCCAATTAATTTCACCTGTACAATGAAAATTGCATACACTACAAGCAAATAAATATAGGTCCATGTGAAAATGAATATTAGCTATATCTTTATCTTAAAAATGTAAGAATTTGAAGTATTGATCATAGTTACTATTATTTCCATCAATTTCATTCTGAAAGAGTAATAAAAGCCCTCAAAATATTTTGGTGATAGTGAACTGTGTAAGAATGTCATTGAAAACTTCACATACTCCTTTCTCCCTTCAATACTGTTTACTGACACTTTAGAAAAATCAAGTAAACCACTTTCTATTTTTTTAAAGGTGATATGGTAGTTATGGGAGTAAAAAGAATATAAAGTACAAAAAAAGACAAACCTACATAATTAAAAAAAAATCTAGTTAGAGCAACAAACTAATAACTATCAATAATACCATCTATTTTAATTTTTCTCCTTTCCTTAATGACTATTATTGTTGTTTTGTCCTTTCATGACTAAACTGTATTAAATCAAAAGAAGTCAATCTTTCAATAAATAAAACCATTATAATAAAATGTCAAAATAGAGTATATTCTAAAGTCGAATGTGTATTTAAAGAGTTATGGTTCTATTTCCTAGGAATCAATTCCTAAAATAACTACAGAATCAAATAAAGCAAAGAAAATTTTCAAGTTTAAAAATATTATATTTGCGCCTTCCCAGTGGCTCAGCGGGTTGAATGCAGCGCTGTGAGGCTATCCACAGCCTCTGTAGCGCCAGTTCAATTCCCAGCTGGCCAGGGAGATACCCACATGGTATGGCAGACCTCTCCTGTCTAGCCCACTGCTCCCCTCAGCAGTATTTTTGGTCCGTCTGCCTGTTCTGCTCCACACTCTGGCTCTAGTGAATTCTCTCACCCTCCTGCACCTCTGGCCTGTACCCCAGCTCTTGTATAAATAAATAGAACTTTAAAAAATTATATTTGTAACATTTTGTGATGTACTGCACTAATACCAGGTAGTTATGAATTTGCTCACACTTGAGACATAATTCACAACTTGGGCACATGGCTATAGAACAAATTTTTGACTTTCTCTTCTTTACACAGTACTTCTACTCCCCCCCTCTTACTTTACTATAGATGAGTAATAAAAAAGGTTTGCAAATATATCCAGATTCTAAACCTAGCCAAATACCTGTGTAAGTAAACTGTATTGAAATGTAACCATCATCATTCATTAACTTCTTGTCATAGTGGCTGACGTGCTATAATGGCACAGTGGAGCAGTTAGGAGAGAAACTTAAGGCCCACAAAGTCTATAAAATTGACTATCTGGCCCGTCACAGAAAAATATTACCGACACCCCACCCCACATTTACTAGAATTAAAAAATGATACAGGAAAATAGTAATAGTCACCTGAACTTAAAAATAAAGACAAACTGACATTGGGTTCTATACAACTAACCAGGAGATTAGTAAACTGGAACTTTTTCTAGGAACCCTCTTGGTGACCTAGTAGAGAAAAAAGTTTAGACCTTATTATTATAACTAGCCTTTATTAAGTTTTTAAAGCGATTTAAGGGCTTCCCTGGTGGTGCAGGGGTTAAAATCAGTGCTATCAAGCTATTGGCAGCCATTGCAGTATAAGTTTAATCCCCAGCCAGGGAACTAACCCACATGGCACAACAGACCTCTCCTGACTTGCCCGCTGCTCCCCTCAGCAGTGTATTTCAGTAGATCTACCTGTACTGCATTCCACGCTGTATCTGGTGAATCCTCTCCCCCCCCCCCACCCCTTACCTCTGGTCTATACCCCACTTTCTATATGCACAAATAAAAAATAAATTAAAAAAAAAAATAAAGCTATTTAAATATCTCCATAGATTCATTTCTTAAACTTCAGAATAAAAATGCAAATAAGGGTAAGGAATAGGGAGGGGTGGTGGGGAGAAAACAGAGAAATAATCTAAACATCTCCTTAAAAAAGCTGCTGTAATTATACTGCCAGCAATGGCAGTCTATACAAATCAAGTAGTTTATCTCCTGTACTTCCTTATGGTTTAGTAATACTTTATGTAAGAGTGACTGTGGTTGTCAGTTAGCATAGATAATAACCTGCCTTTAAATAGAAAAAAATGCCAAAATCGGAAAAAACATACAAGTGAAAAAATATGAAAAGAAATGTAGTTCCACCTACATTTATTTTTCTACAAGGGACATTTCATTATTTTTGACTGTTTTCAGTAACAGTGATATTCTTCTGTAAGTTTCTCTAAACTTTAGAGGAATTTTCAGGTAGAGGAGCCTAAACACTAAGGCTGAGTGGAGATTGGTGGTGGGTGAAATGTATGAAGGTGATCAAAGGTTCAATTCCCAGTTATAAAATTAAAAAAAAAAACAAAGAGTAATCCTGCTTATATCTCACCTATGCTGCTTTTACTCTCATTATATGCATATATCTATACATGATTTGAACCATTTCTAGTACATCTTTTCTGTTGTAATGTAGAATTACAATCCCATTTTTGCAACCTTTATTCTTCAAGTCCTAAATGGGCCCTGGGATTTTGTTGTACCACTACTATCCAGGCTCAGCAGGAAAAACACCTGAAAAGTGAAAGATACGTAAATAGTGTAAGCATATGAAGACTCTAATGTCTCCAGGATGGAAATTAGTTTCAACAAAAATGCTTCCTAGAGATCTGTTGAGGATTCTGAGACCTGAACATTTTATATAATATATGAATCTTTAAAATATTTGACAGAGATGAAGCCTACAAAATTCAGCAACTATTAAGCCAGTTTGTTACAACAATCTACAAAGCAGGTCTTTAAAACAGAGTAATTTGGAATATCTAGCTTAAAACATAAATCTTCTAAAGAACTTACCTGTTGTACTATTTGATGGTATCCATTAAGTACTGTTTTCAGCTGCCAACTACACAGTAATCTAAAATTTTAATGGAACAAATTAAGTTCAGAATTAAAAGGAAAGATTTATTTGTATGCTAATACAAACATGCACATAGAGAAGAATGACATAAACGTAATTCTAACAAGTTAATAAAATCTTTACCACTGAAAGTATTAATCTCTTCTTCAAACTGTCAGTATTAACTTTACTCCAAAATATAAATAACAGCAATCAGTAAATGCCATACAAGCAGTATATCTTTTTGTAACTTTAACATATGCAAAGTAAAGTTTTCTATTGAACTAGATTCTTCTCCAAAGTAGGTTAAATAAAACTAACAGGTTTTTTTTATCGCTTCTCAGCCTTTTGGTTAAGATCAAGTGTAACACTAACAGTTTTAATCATAATATACAGAACATGTATTTTCTTCTTCCTTTTATGGCCAACCTTAGTCATTCCTTTTTATTTACCATTCCTTTAAATGTTGGTATGCCATCAAGGCTCTGTCCCTGGCTTTCTCATTTCATCTGATACCTGCAGCCACTGGCAAGTCTACCCATTCTCATAGTCTCAGATTCCATGCCTACTGTAACTTCCTTATAGACCTCCATTTGAAGTCTTACACTCGAGTTCCACACCAATAAACTACTACCTACTAAACATCTCCTCTAGATATGTCACACCCAATACGTCTTAAAACAATTTATCTTCTACTTCTCCACCTAAGACCTCTTCTGTAGCTTAATGATCTGAGTCAGGAACTTGGACAGTATCCTCCCTCGCCCTATCCCTCTTGTCTGCCCACTTCTAACCACTCATAATATCCTGTCAAATCTACTTTTAAATGTCTCTGGATTCTTTTTCCACTCTACTCTCAGAGATATTTGGGAATAGAAATGAGATTTGGGGAACTGTAGGTAATTCCAGTCTCATTTGTTGACATCCCTTGACAGACATCTGTGCCCACAGCCCAAATAGATTCCTAATTTATACCAGAAATAAACTCAGAGTGTAGGTCCTTCCCTATAATACCACAGAATCAACATCAAGTCAGAAAAGAACATTCCAACTATTTTGTATTCTCCTTTATATTTCAGTTCAGTACTTGCTAGTGATGTTTACATAATCACCGCTTACTACTTTAAGTGAAACAAAAACAGAGAATTAAGGTGTTACCTTTGAGTAGCACCTCAGTATCAGTAAAAAAACATTTACAAATGCCATAGTGATTTGCAAAAAACAAAAATATTTCTGGCTAATAAGACTTTTAGACAAATTCTAATAATCACAACCTGTTTATTACAGATTAAATGTCTGCACATCCCCACCAGACACATCTAATATAACAAAACACCACATCACCTTGCATTCTTCAACTGCAAATCTTCAGGCAACAATATTTTAAGGTGGAAATCTCTGCCCTATGGAAAAAATTGAAAATATTCACTCAAATTTTCATGTTTCACTAAATGCTAAATACAGAATCACATAAAAATCACATAGAAAGTGGCCTCCCTGGTGGCGCAGCGGTTGAGCACTGGGTTGCAGAGCTGCCCGCACCTCTGCAGCGCCTGTGTGAATCCAGGCCGCGAGGCGAGGGTCCCACATGGCGCGCAGACCTCTCCTGCCGCCCCCTGTCCCCCTCGGCAGTGTACTTCAGTGCTTCTGCCAGTTCTGCTCTCCACTCTGGCTCTGGTGAATTCTCTCTCCCTCCTACGCTTCTGACTGTACCCAGCACTTGTATAAATAAATAAATAAATCTTAAAAAAAAAAAGGAGATAAAAACTGTCTTTAAAAAAAAAAAATCACTTAGAAAGGCACTATTTTCCCTTTTTTTGTAAGCATTACCCTTATCTAAATGTCAAAATATAAGCAACAGAATATTGTATTTGAGGGAAAATGACTAAAATTTCTATCAAAAAGTTTGTGACTGTTCGAAAATGAAGACTAAGAACTTTGTGTTTAAAAACAAGTTCACAAAACACAAGAAATTCTAAGAAATTATTAATCTAGACATTTAGAAAAAATGTATATGATATTTCTTGGGAAATTTATGAAAAAGGAAATGTCTTCTAAATGTTTTCCACATGGAAGAAAAAATCAAAAGCAATAAATACATTATAAGCTTCATGTTTTCAATTTTCTAAATTTTAATAACATGAAAATTTACAAAGCCTAAATAAATGCACCTCAGAAATATTTCCCTAATCATAATCAGAGCATGTTTATTTTTCCCACATTATCAGGCCTTTACTAAATGAAGCAACTAGCATATTAAGTTACTCATTTAATTTAAATATTCACTAGTTCTGCATATGAACACACCAAGTTTTACTCAAGAATCTGAAAAAATATATTCACTTTTACTTTCTTGACAAAGTGAATGGGTAAACAGCTTAAACTTTGTACCTTAAATAGGATAATACACATGAAATTTGAGCAAAGGTAAGCAGAAAAAGACAAACAGAAATATAATCTTTTACTCCAACAGTACAAAATGAAAAGAGTAATAAAATTCTCGAAAAACAATTACCACGAGAATTTTAGCACAGTATCCCTCAAAGCAGTTTCAAAAATAGAGGAACACAATTAAATGTACCCCATAACCTTTACTTTCATGGTAATATTACAGTTCTGACTTTCATTACATTTAAATGTCCTTTAAAAAAATGAAACAAAATGTACTACTGACCTTTTCAAAAGGTCAAGTAACAATAATTCACTATTTCATTAAAGCACTAAAAGGTATTATGTAGTAACTTTAACCTAACTTCATAGACATCCCACACATAAGTGTAAGAACAATCTGGAATTCAAAACTTACATGAACAGTAAAACTACCAATCTGTTATCTGAAAGAATAAAATTCCAAAGTCCCTTATTTGCAAATTCAGCCATTTAAAAAGGTTAAATGCCATGCCACATGCCATAATACTTTTCTGATTTAAGAAAATGTCCAAAAATTAGCTCTTTTTAATTAAAGCATATTAAAAAATGTTAATTGCTCTCAAGAAGCAGATTTATCCAGGCTTGCAGGGAACAAAAGTACTACAGGTGCCCACATCTGAACATCTGAATCACTTCAGACATCTCCCCCCAAAACTATATTGGTCAATATTAAAAACAAATAGAACCACAAAATTCCATGTCTTCAGCAAAATCAGAAGACAGAGAACATTGTGAACTTCAAATTACCTATTAGAAATAAAATATAAACTACCTTCCAGGAGAGCTCACTGTTAAGATTCCCACAGCGAGTCCTTTTAGAAAGTTGGTGGGGAAGGGTTTCAGAAACCAGTGCATGGAAGAGAAGAGGGGAAGGGATTGGGCTAAGCACAAATATAATAAGATGTTCTGGTAGATCAGAGCAAAGCTCTATAGACTATAGGCAAGGGACTCAACTGATTACAAGTCAAGGTGCCAGTCTTAGAACAGAAATTTAGATCTACAAGGTAAGTAATGCAGACAGAGATGTCCTTTGGAGGCTGGAGTCCAAAGGAAAAGCAATGAAAGTGGGAAACCTAGGATCTTATATTACAGAAAAAATAATATTCAACTCCTACCACAGCATTACTCAAAGAAATCATCCATTAAATACACTACACTTTGTTTCACTATCAAAAGACAGTATTCATGAACCGGGAATTTTATAAACTATTGCAAAGCGCAAACTTTTCACAAATACAAGGATACTGTCATCATTAATGCCAAGCTACAAGACAACAGAGTAAGAGAATCAAAACATTTCAAGCAATGACAACCCCCATGCAAACAAACAAAATAAAACACAAGATAAAAGTAAATTACAATTATGAATTATATATCATTAAGTAAATAATTGTACCCAGATTGAGAAACTAAGAACAGGAACTGGAGGAAAAAAAGACAAAATACTATTAAAATGGAAGAATAAATAGGTGCTCAAGGCAGACTAAAAAAAATAAAGCAGCAAGGAAAACACAAGAAAGTTACCAAATGAGAAAATGATTTTAAAAAGATATCAGACAAAAGTACTTGAAGTGGAAAATAGGAAAAAAAAAAAAAGTTCAATACAAAAATAATTGGAGACCCTTAGAAAGAAAACAAAATAGTGAAAAAGAATGTTTAAAATTATAATCAAGTTTATGTTCTGGAAATTCACATACTGAAAAAGACACACAGATGAGAAAAGTGACTCATATGACATACTCTCATATATCTTAGTGCATGGACTTTTAAAATAAGGGGAAAGTTCATAGTCTTAAGAAAAATGATCAAATAACTTATATAGGAAACAGTATGATTAATCATGAGATTTCTCAAAGCAAAATTAAAAAAAAAAACAACAACATAATAAAACTTTAAAGAAACTGAAAGGGAACTTCTGTGTCTACCCACAACAGAAATAAGATTTACATTCCTATATTAACTTTTTAAAAAGGACAAAATAGGGCCTCCCCTGGTGGTGCAGCGAGCAGCCTCTGCAGCACCAGTTGGATCCCCGGCCACTGGCAAGGGTCCTACATGGCGTGACAGATCTCATCTGTCGCGCCTATTGCTCCCCTCAGCAGTGTATTTCACCAAGTCTGCCTGTTCTGTTCCCCGCTCTGGCTCTGGTGAATTCTCTCACCCTCCCACGCTTCTGACTGTACCCAGTGCTTGTATAAATAAATAAATAAATCTTTAAAAAAAAAAAAAAAACTAAAACTTTAAAAAAATAAAATAAAAAAGGACCAAATATTTGAAACGATGATTTTTCAGATATCAAATAATGGGCAGTGCAGGACAGTGACCCTTGAAAAATAAACAAATGAGAAAATCCTTGTTATTGTCCAGCTTTACTGCCAGGAAAATTTTCAGGGCAGCAGGAATGGAGAACCAAATATTATAGTTCTAACTTTCTCCCTGATTTGAGAAGACAGGATGAGTTACAGGAGACCAAGCCATATAGAATTCACAAATCATAGTGCCAAATAGAAGTTCAAGAAGAAGAAAGAACTACACAGAAAGTACACCTAGAACAGTTTAAAGGGTT